TTAAGATTGACATTAAAGATAATATCATGTTTTGAGGTACTGATAGCTTGGGTTAAAGAGGTGTTGTTAGGGCAGGAGTACCAGTAAAAAGAGGTATTAGGGCAGTTATATAAGAAGCAGTTAGAAGATATAAATATAGAGGGATATATAGAGTAAAGATATTCATGTGTTAGAAGGATATTAAGAAGCATTTTGATTTTAAAAGATTTTAAATAGTTTAGTTTAGAGTTGGTGAAGTTGTATGATACTTTTTGGTTGTTATTGAAGTATAGCCATGAGGTTTTCTATTCAATTAAGTAAGAGAAGTGAGACTATTCATGAGCGTGATGTTGTAAAGACTACAAGGTGATATTTTAAGCATTGTGAATTAATTTAATAAATTGTCTGGTGGGGCTTTCAATAGAGCTTTTGTTCTATTGCAAAGTAGAGAAGAGTTATACAAATTAGTATAATTAAAATATAGAGTTGGTAAGGTAGAATGGTTGTTTGCAAGTAAGTCTTCAAGATTGTTAAAAGGGTTATTGGAATGGGCTTTAACTTTTTAGAAAGTGAGTTGGATATTAAAAGACTTGAGAATATTAAGAAGTGTATACCAGACAGGCCAGGCATTGAACTTGAACTGTTTTGAAGACTGAGGTAATAAAGCTTGAAGTTTGTTGTATTTAGAAATAACAGATTGTAAGTTAGTAAAGATATCGATAATTGAGTTGTAAGAGAGTGTGAAAATAGCTAATAGTATTGCAAGTAGTTCTGCTTTATATGAAGAGGTCCAGTTAGGAATTTGAGCAAAGAAGCTATAAGTAACTTTGTTATTGTAAACTTGGACCTAGCCAAACCTATTGAGCATTGGCTAGTGCCAAGTTGTTTGACATAACTATCAGTATAAAAGGTAAAATAATGTTAAGTTGGATAATGAGATCATAGTAAGTTTTGCAGAGATGTCACTAATAACAAAATTCATATATAGTAAATAAACACTCTATATATAAATTAATCAATCAAAATTAGCTAATACAATTATATATGTACTGTATATACTAAATATATATATAAATATAATGCAATTATGAAAAATTGATAATTAAAAAATTTAACAATTTTAATAGCAATACTTTAGTTTATAATTTTAATAGCAATAACAATAGTTTAATTTATATACATATATTAACATATAGATTTGTAATAATTAGAATATAAAATTTTGTTTTTAACAATATATTTAAGAATTTTCTTGACCTTCTTTTAAATTATCTATTAAAACAATAAATAGTTCTTTCAAAATATTATTATTCTCTTCTTTATATATTAAATAATCTTCACTTTCATTAAGTTCATTTGTAATTCTATATTTCTTAAAAATTTTTTAATAAGTTTAGTAGAAATATCTTTCCATGTATCAACAACTATTAACATATCAAATTATATATTAGTTTTTTAAAATTTTTTTCTCAAGTAAGTTAAAATCTTTATTTGTTATCCAAATTCTTTATTTTTCATGCAGCTGGTCTTTAAAAGGCTTATTAATACTAACATCTAAAAATTGAACATATGATATAAGTTCTTTGGTTATAATATCTATAATTATATTGCATTCTAACAATTAGATGTTTTTAAAAGCATTCAGGGTTAATAAACTCTATTTTTGTTTAGTAATTGCACTTGGTTTTTTGGTTAGCACCTGTGTTTCTTTTTTTTTTACACATTTTCAATATAATATTCTATTAAAACTTCATTCATCCACACCTGTTCTTGTATTCAAATAAATATATTATAAGGAAAAAAACCTTTAAATAGTCTTTTTCCTTTAAAAATTACTATTGAAGGAAGCTTTGTACCATCAGCCAATACTAAAAGCACACAATTAAATCAGTTTTTGTTATTACTTATAGTTTTAATTTGTATAGTCTTAACATAGCAATAATCAACAGTAAGTTGGCTAACTATATCAAAAAAAGATTGGTGTTTTATTTATATTTCTAATACAGGTAAGATTAAAGTTATTGTTTTAATTTGCATTTTTAATAAAAATATGAATACTTAAAACTTTTTCTTGTAAATCCTGAGGCAACTTCTGTTCAAGTTTAGTTTGATAACAAAGTGAAAGATTATACCAATTCATAAAACTATAAAACTTGTTACTTGAAGCTCCAAATGTTTCAGATGTAATTTGGATAATGTTGAGAAAATTTATTTATAAGCAAATTACGCATTTTGAACTTTACTGCAGAGGGCATTACAGCAATTTCTTCATTGTATAATTCATCAATCCATTGTTTTAATGCATCTTCAGTGAGAGGATATGCTG